TACGGTTTTACAATCGATTGCAATCAATATTTACTAACATCATGTTTTTCATTGTTTTTGGTCGGCAGAAAGCGTAACCTATTCGCCAGACAAAAACGACCAAATCGTTAACCCTATCCCAGACTAAAATTATACCCTATCCCAGACAAAATGTCAAAAAATGATACCCTACCTCAGACCCAGAAGTCGAAAAACCATACCCTATAGGGCTGCACATACCCGTATAGCAAATATAGGGGAGTAACCCCCCCCCCGGAGTAAAACACAACTTCTGACTCAAATCTTAGCACCAAAGTGTTCCTCAACTAAATTTGAAACTTTCCCTAAGCACATTTCCAAAGCCTTCGAGATTCTAACCATCATCTCATTATGAATTCGGTAAACTTACCATCTTCACTATCTTTGCGCTGGGGCTGCCCGTGGGATGTATATATATATAATAATGATAATAACTTTATTTACAGAGGGTAAAAACACTTTACAGTTATAAACTGATAAACTAGTGGCCCTCGAGCTAAATTACAATAATATGAGTACTAAAAAAGTTCTAAAACAATATATACATATGCATACACAGATGTATACACCGAATCCCTAAAACTTTGACAATTTAGCGATATAAATACATATATATGTATCCCATTTTTCCTATTGTCTTTCCTTGAAAATCCAGGTAGGACAATAGAAAAAAGGGGGATACACATATATGTGTCAAAGTTTTAGCGATTCGGTGTATATACAGGCATATACACACACACACACACATATATACGCGTATATGTATTTAGTATATACCAACTTGTGTACTTCCTAAGAACGCGCGCGCTCATTGGTTAATTGGAGGTGAATATTGTACGATATTCACCTCTGAACCTCGGAATAKTGAGTCGGCAACAAAATGGCATCTGCCGACAATCGTTTTGCTACAATTTCCGATGAGGGATTAAAAAAAATGAAAGTAAGTGCCATTCCTTTCAATGCTAAAAAGGCAGGCGAAGTATGGCCTAAAAGTTTTGCTAAAAGTTTTGCGTGAATTTTTCACGCAAACTAAAAGTTTTTTTTATTTATTATTTTTTTTATTGAATTACTGTATATAAAAATAAGTTACTCTGTACACAAGTTGGTATATGCTAAAACAATTATTCGCCTCATGCTCAGTGAATATGGAGAATATTTACACCTCGCTAACTATACACACCCGTACATACGACGTACATACATACATACGCACGCATACATATGATAATTAAGAAAAAATATAATAATTAAGAAAAAATATGAACTATTCTAATAAACTCCAACTTTCCATTCGCCCAAAGACCCACCCATCCCTAGTTAAGAATAAATATAAAGAAATTAAAAGTTAAGAGTAAATTAAGAAATAGGGAAACAATCTAGCCCTACATAAGATTACTTAAGGGAATTTACATAATTTTGTTTAAAGAGTTTAACATTTTGGCTGGATCTAATAGAAATAGGGAGTTTGTTCCACTCTCTCACTGCCGTCGTTGTAAATGTCCTTCCTCCCTCAGTTTCACGCGATTATCTTGGGCATCTCAGCATTTTGTTTCCCTGCCTTGACTGCCTTACAGAAATATCACTAATGCGTGTAAACCTGTTTGACATATATTCAGGGGATCGACCAATGAGGCATTTGAACACTAGGCTTAATTTGTTTGCATTGATTTCGTGATAAAAAGGTATCCTAGTTTCTTGAAAAGCGTGATTGTCCTCTTCTCTTTAATTTTTACCCCAAGTATTACTCCTGCGGCCCCTTTATTACTGGCAGAGGTTGAGCCCCATACCAGACTTCCATACATCATAACCGGTTTTATAGTAGTATCATAAAAAAGTAAGCGTTCATTTTGTGGTTAATAATGGCATATAGAACTAAGAGTTCCTATTCGCTGGGAGAGCTTTTGGCATATGTAATCAATGTGGTCGTTAAACGATAGTTTTTGATCTATGAGCACGCCTAATACTTTGTGACTGGCGGTGTCCTCTAGTACAACCCCCTCGCTCGTTTTGACCTCAATCTCAATACCAGTATCCATCTTTAAAGGTAGCCGTCACAATCATCGATTTGGTCTTTACGGTATTTAGCTTAAAGTTGTTGTTTGACCAGCGCTCGAGATCTTGGATGTTCTCACAAAGATCAGCAGAAAGACCCATGGTATCTGTGAAGGGGGCGGATACATTAAGGGTAGTATCGTCTGCGAAAATATTTACAAAGGTCTTCTTCGTTATCGCCTCGGCGAGATCCTTAATAAAGATCAGAAAAAGCAGCAACGAGAGGACGGAACCCTGTGGCACCCCATGGGAAAGGGACTGGGTGGAGGAGTAGACATTTCCAATAACTGTGCGCTGTTGTCTGTCACTCAGGAATGACCTTATGAGCTCAAGACTCGTTTCGTATGGTGATATATGTCCGTGTTATAGAGGTTTCGGCAAAGGGGGCTTTCCTCTTTACTTAAACTCAAAAACCTCTTCGTTTCATAGACCCGACCAATATATTAAAAACTCCTTTAATTTACTGACTCCTATATAACGAACAGACAACTTAAGTTCAAGCAAAACCACCATATATTTTAAAATAATAGACCCGATTGACCTCTATATTACGGACACCACTATAATACGGACAGATATATAAGTCCCGGCAAAATCATCATACATTCTTTGATTAATAAACCGATCGACTACTACGTCGGGACATTTTTTCTAGACCTATATCGCTATAGGTTTCTTTTAAAATTTGGACTTTGCCGGTGTTGCGGAATGATGTCCTAAGTTATTTTTCTATTCAATAGAAGCGAAGAAATTTCGTTGGTGTTGCATAAAGGATGAAATGAACAAGTGCAAAGAATTCAAGAAAGCTTTCCCTGGAATAGCGCAAATTGCTGGTGTCGGACAAATTACTCCTGACTGTGTCAGTGGTGATAATAAAGAAGACTGCATGAAGAAAATCAAGAATAATGAGGCGGACTTTGTTACTCTTAGTGGTGGAGACGTTCTCAAAGCAGGTAAGGAAGCTCGAATAACTTGAAGCGGGAATAATAATAATACACAGGTAGCCCAAACAAGGTTCCTGTGTATGGTTTATAAGGGAATGTATGGGAGAAATGATATAGATATGACAATAAAATGTTTCGCTGAACGATTTGCTTCACAACCTGGTACAGTCGTTGCTGGTACCTCGTTCAAACGTTTGGCGAATTTTCAGCGCGATTTGGGGCCGTTTAATAAGTCTTTTCATGGTATGAGTTAGAGAAGAGCGGATTTCGAAAAAAAAATCACTAAACGGCCCCAAATCGCGCTGAAACTTGGCCAGAAGTTTGAGCGAGGTGTACAAGCAACAACTGTACCAAGTTTGGAAGCAAATTGTTGAGCGAAAAATTTCATTGCAGTAGCTTTGTGATAGCTCCCATACATTCCCTTATAAATCATATACACAGGAACCTTGTTTGGGCTACCTGTGCTTGTATTAATATTATAATAATAATAAAAGTTATTATAATTATTATAATTATCATAATTATAATAATAATTATTATTATTTTAGTTATAATTCGTATGGTACGGTGCAAACGCAGCCTCATTTGATCGATATGGTACAGCTGAAGACAAAAATACTGAAAAACACTATGCACCAATAAATAATATAAATATTGAATAGATACAAATAGATATTTACAGAAGAAGAGTATAAACCGACTTACTAAGAGTACAGACTAATCTCGCTAAGGGACTGGTCATTATTTAACGGGGGGGGGGGGGGGGGGGGGGGAGGGGGGGAGAGAAGGGCACACTATTTTGGGTAGAGTGTATTTCATTTATCCATGAAAAACTAACAAAATTGTCCAAATTAGCGCAAAGTTTTGTAGGTCTACGGTCTATGAAACTAATTTGTGCAAATTTGACTAGGCAATCCAAACCAAACCAAACAAGCCAAGCTATCTAAGCTAAGCTAACCTAAACTAAGCTACTTTGCAAACGTATATGGACCTCACAACTTCAAGGTCAAAATGACGTGCTTTTTTTTTAATTTTTCGTTGCTTTTTTTAAATTTCACAAATATTTTAGCCTTTCTAGATAACGAGATAACCAAATGATTGAAATGCGAGTCTACATTGTGATAAAGTGACTCATGACAATTCGCAAATTTGAACTTTAATTGCTCGAACGTTTGCTCTTTTTGCTACAATTTAGGGGTAAAATTTGGGGGTCTGGGACAGACTTTCAAAAAGTAGAAGCAATTGTCCCGATTATTTTGCCATGTTCCGCTCTGGCAAACTTTGGGAAACCTCAAAATCACCGCACCAGCAGTGAATATAATTTCATAACCCAACCCAACCCAACCCAACCCAACCCAACCCGGGAGCCATATTGCTTTAAATGACCCTGCATCGGAAGCAGAAGAGTATTCCTAAGGAGTACGCACACTCTAAAAATAACTTTTCGGGAGTGCCGATATCCCAAAGCCGATACTGAAAGAGTCCCTCTGTTCTTCGTGATCTCTTGGTGTTACTGATTAACGGAGAAATAAAACTTCAATTCTTCAAAACTTCAAACTTCAATGAACTGAATGTATTCTGAAATGGCATGGAAAACAGAAGCATTTGCGTTTTATTGCGTCCAATCTAATTAACAGAAACCTTGACTAGTTGCTAAGATATACTGGTAATAAAAATAAAAGTGTTCACTGTTTGCTCAGTGGATGACGACTGTCTCAAGCAAAGCATATAGTTTCTCTATCCTCGTTTATTGATCATAACGACAGTTTATCTTAATGTACTTTTTCATCAGGCAAAACTTATGACCTAGTACCGATAGTAGCAGAAGACTATGAAACCCTCGCAGGAATGGGGTACTATTCTGTCATTGTGGCAAAAAAAGATACAACAGTGACCATTGGAACATTGAAAGGAAAGAAGTCGTGCCATACCGGATACCGAAGAACAGCAGGATGGAATATTCCGATTGGATATTTATTATATAACACCACCCAAGGAAAAGCAAATTCTGGATGCGATGCGCAGTTTGCCTCAAACTACTTCTCTAAGAGCTGCGTACCAGGTGAAGCTGCATTTCATGTTTCTCAGAACAATATCCTAGTATATGCAATATAATGTTAAATTATTGCATAAGACGAAGGACTATTTTGTCTGTGTAGTTTTGCACTGCGCATAATTTATGTTGGCGAGAAATATCCAGCCGGACTTCGATTTAACATTGATGTAAAATCTAATTTCACTGACATTGTATGTAGGGCTATAATTTAGTGGCTATTTATAAACTCGCTAACATCAATTTCCTGGTATCTGATTGCAACTTTTTTTCATTTTTCGAATGCTGATCTAATACTTACCGAGCGTTGACTACGTAATTTTTCAAATTTTATTTCTGAAATATTCATGGCATAATAATCATCGTGCAAAGCTTGATGAAACATTTAAGATCAGCTTTATTTCTATTGACTTTCCTTAGTTTTTCAATCAGTAGCAACACATCCGCACATATAGTTTGCCTGATCATTGTCGGTCCTTCAATATCAGTTCTAAAGCCAATGTATTATCATTTACTTTTTAATTTATAACAGGCGCTCCAAAATTAAAAGGACTTGAAAACTTGTGTGCACTGTGTCCAAAAGAGAGTAACTGTGAGAGCTCTGCTGATAAGAACACTTACAGTGGATATCATGGTGCTTTTCAGTGCATGGCGGACAAGAAAGGAGATGTGGCTTTTGTCAAACATGTCACAACGGCTGAGGTACTGAACTATGCCAGTGCTAAATATGGAAAGATGTCTGACTACAAGTACATCTGCCCGGATGGAACAACTAAAGGTAATAAAAAAATTATAGATAAAATAAATCAAAAGATAGAACTAGCTAAAAACTAGTGTGAGCTGCGTCGGTGTTTCTAATGAAACAGTAATGAT